TAGAAGTAATACAATAATTTTAATGCATATTTATTGGTGCAAAAACATCATTTTTGAACAGCATGACAAATTTTAATTATGATGAAAATCGTAAAAACCATTCGAATTTCAATTGATACATAAGTATACGTTGCACTTCTCAATAATGCACAGGAATTGCTTTACAACCAGGTTTCCGACATCGTCCTCTTTGATCTTTCACAACGGGCCAATGCCCTATTTCATCTTGCCGAATATCCTTTTGAGAAATTATTTTTGTAGCTGCACCTTTGTGTTTTTTTGCTGCATGAAGCTCATCAATACAGCTACTGCTGGGACGTCCTAATTTTTTGGTAACTGTCAGTGTCTTTCCTTGCTTTATTAGGCTGTTCTTCTATGTGACTCTTAAACTCAAACAGAGACAGTTCGTTTTTCTGTGTAACACCAAAATCATTGCAGGCACGTCTATATAAAAGCCAACAATTTACAACTGACATATCCATAAAATGGACTAAAAAACGTTGGTAATATTTCTTCGATCTGATTGTGATTCTGTGTAGACCTATTAGTGAATTCATAAGATCTACTCCGCCCATGAATTTATTGTAAGTTCTAATTGCTGTGGGGCACTGAACATCTACAGTATGTTTTCTTGTGTAACCCACCTTCTAATTGTATCAAGAGGTTTGGCAGAGAAAAAGTTGGAGATGAGCAATACTACACGAGAGTCGTGCCATTTGATAATTCTGCAAGGTACGATATCAGTTTTTAACTCTTTTTCCTGAAACGATCCGCGTCCTCTTGTTTTTATGATTTTGTTTGACAATAAAGGACACCTAGGAAAACGGTTTGAGTGGACTGTTTCTAGACAATATATTTTCTTTTGAACTAGCTCATTCAAAAGAGGTATTGATGAAAACCAATTATCGATATAAAGAAGGTGATTGTCTTGCTGAATGCTTCTACAGAGTGTTCCAACAATATTACCACTAGAACCAATATCATTGTATCCTGGAATAGCGAAAATTTTTCCAGTATATATTTCAAAATCATATGCAACACCACTGGAGATAGCCAACACAAAAATGTTGTGAGGCTTTTTTGGCATGTACTAGTTTAGCCCAGAATGACCCTTGAAAGGCACCATTTGCTCATCGATCACGACTATCTGCTCCTTTGGAATATTTCGAAATTTTTCTCCCAAATGTTCTACTAAGGGTCTAATCTTGTACAACTTATCTTAGTTTGACGGATCCATTTTGGTATTATCGGAGAAATGTGTTTTTTTTTTATTGTTTCCCATCTGTCTCGACTCATTATTTCACGAACTGTAGTAATATCAAATTAAGAACTCCAATATAAAAGAGTTTTTGGTAGTTTGATTGATTATATTAGTTAAGATATATAAAATATTGTACCCATAAATTGTTCTAGTTCTTTTATTGTCAACCCCAGAGGTTTATTGGGATTTGTTTAAACAGCAAATAATTTGATTGGTAAGTAATCAAATTTAGAAAGCTATCGTCGAAAAATTTTCTAAAATAGTCTATGAGGTCTTTTATAGAAGTAGCTTTTGGTAAGCTGTAGTTCTACATTGGAGTAATAGTGTCAGTATTGATTTTTTCTGTTATGTCGGTATATTCATTCTTATTGCGCGTACATGTTCGTTTATTATTTCTTCACCTCCGTCACTAAGGTCTTCCTCAATTTCAGAACCAGAGTCCTCTTCTATTACCCATTCATCTCTTTCATTTACAGAATCAGAAACCCTTATATCACTATCACTTAATATGTCAATGACTTAGTGCCTTTTTCGTCCATAAAACACAGCTGGATCCATTTTAAACTATTTTAGTTACTTGACTCTATAACGCCGAATGTAACGAAATCGTAACGCTTACAACACGTGTTCAATCTTCAATTTACGACTCTTTATGGTGATAAGCATGAACTATCCATATACTTCACAGAATTTTCCCGCTAATATCTATTTTACAGATTCCTTCCCGGTAAACATTCACTGCTTTTGTCGAAATCAAAATTACAGTTATCTGTTAGCACCAGCCAACTTGTATCCTAATTACTCCGATTAATATAACATCAGGATTCCGTAAATCGCATATTTTCGCTTATGATCGGGATGTTTTGCAGAAAAAGACTTTCTTCCTAGTTCCGTGATAGACCTTCCTGAACAGTCAACATCTTCAAATGGTACTGTCAAATCTCTAGTTTCAGATTCCTTCACAAATGACAAACATGGGGATTCTACTTCGAATCTTGATACTGTGATAACAACACTTAATATTGACCATGGTTTTGAAGCAACCGTCATGACACAAAATCGTTTTTAAGCCCTCAAGAGTTTTGAGGCTAACCCAAAGCTGCTCCAAGAAAACGAGTGCAGAACAGAAAACGCGGAAAAAGTTTCATTTCAACAGACACTCCAGAAAAAATTGAACTTCAAACAAAGAACACCGAAAACGCAAAGCTAGAGCTAAGACAGTAAAAAAACGATTTTTCGAATCCGAAAATAGTTCTTCAATTGACGAAGCAGAATACCTGAACAGCTCATCTGAATATGATGCCGACCTTGATGCTCCAATAACAGGATTTGAAGAACTGGATAAAAATTCAGTCATTGATAACTATGATCTTGTAAAGTTCGCAAGCAAAAAGTCAGTAAAATATTTTGTTGGCAAAATTTTGACTAATCTTTCCGATGATTTCGAATATGACATCAATTATCTGAGAAGAAAAAATAAATCTAACAAGTTCTTTTATCCAAATGTTCCTGAAGTTGCTAGTGTTTTATCGCAAGACATAGTGATGATTTTACCTGTACCAGTGTTATATGGAAAAACCAAGAGGCAAAAGTTCAATTGTGTTATGTTTCTGTTGTGGATTTTTGTAAAATAAAGACCAATTTACAGGATCATTTGTTTGTTTTCAATTTAAATAGAAAAAGTTGTGAAAAAATCTCCAATGACTAAAAACTGTCTCACTGTGGACCACTCTCCAGTACACTTTATGACCGCTACCTCCTAAGCGTTAATAAGATACCACAAAAATAATTATAGTTTCATAGCAAATTTATTTTTTTATTCATAAACTCCTAAGTATGATAATATTTAGCAAGCCGAAATTTCCATAAACACAGAATAGAGTAGAGTTTCGAAAACCATTTTGATTTGCTTTGATATGTTGACGTAAAACATTGATGTCCTTTAAATTTATACAATTATTTTCGCACAAGGAAGACTTAAAAGCCATCTGAATTGACGACGACCCTGACATTATTTGGGGCGCAGTTGAAATCTATAGTAAGCGGAATTCCCGCGGCGTGTTGAGGGTCAGGTGTTGTTTACAAGAAAAAGTTTTAAATTAGAATAAAGCTCAAGTCAAACGACAAAGGACTCTAAACGAATTTACGATTTTTCAGTTTGGATTTATTTCTAAGTTCGCAGTTGTTTTGAGCAACCGTTTGTTATATGAGAATATATTTCCACTCTGCTTTTTTGCATTAATCTTCGCTATTGCTTTATTCTTCCATGTCTATATTTCCGCATCATTTATACAAAAAAGTAACATTTATACAATAATTTAATAGTGTCAATAAAAAGAAGACGAAAGCTAAAAGTCTTCTTCAACTTCTTTCGACTGATTGCTCTTAATATTTCCTGTGGCTTAAAAGTTTTCAATTCACAAGCTATAAATGCGCAGCCATGTCAATCATATTTGCCGAATGCTACCTTTTCTTAGAAACCAAGGTTTACCCAAGGTTTACCTTTGCGTTTTTAGTTCAAAGCTACCATACATTTCCAACGTTAAAAAAAACTTGTTTTGCACATAGTACAAAAAACACCACTATGTTGTTACTAGCTAAGTTTTTTAACATCCTAACTCGACAATTCTAAGTTACGGTAAGACCAATAATGTTTTTTAATAGATAATATATGGTAGCTAATTATAATTTATTCTCTTACAGCCCTGAAGAAGCCAAATTAATTCTCTTTGGCGGAAACGTTCGGCGAAACAATTGATACTCATTAGAGTTTTTCTTGCAGATTTCCCCAATATTTAAGAGTTTACTATTTAAGTTATCTGCAAAGATTAAATTTCTTTTCTATATATATATATATATATATATATATATATATATATATTATATATATCTTGTATTCTTCTTCAAGTTCCACTCCTATCGGAGATTGGAAATCATTCTGGCAATTATAATTTTATTGGTTACTCTTATTGGTATCTTGTATATAAATATAATATTACACATAAATATTGATGTTACTAAATACATTTTATTAGATACTTTAAAGAATACAAAACGATCATTAATCCATGATAATTTTACTCTATACAAATGATTAAGATATAAAATACTAGATTATCTATCATCACAAACTAGCAACGATGTCGTCGCTTTATCCCATTTATATTTCGTAGAACCTACTGCCTACAAATTTGATTCTCAACTATTAAAATATATCTAAAATAGTCTAGACATAACAACTTTTTTACTTACCAGGCCTCGCTGCCTGCTGTTTGGCCAATTTGACTTCATAGTGTCCAACACACTGGCTTGGGTTTGCAGATTCGGGAAAGAGCTCACAGTCAAGATAGTCAGGTAAAGCCAGTCCAAATACGTCTAAGAAAAATCCACAGCGCCGTTTAGTTTCTGCAACAAAGTTACAAGATTATTGCCACTAATAAAATAATTGGGTCAGGCGGTTTTAGTTAGTGTTTACGCCATTGATTTAAGATGTTAGTATATAAGGGTTAAAAAAGATATATGAGAGGTTTACAAAATTTCATTTTAGTATAAAACTCAGTGCTGTAGTGAAAAATACTTACTTATTCCAAATAGTACCAAATTCGGTAACAAGTACATTTCTCGGTGTTTAATAATTTTAGATGGTGGGAACAACCCAAAAGGAAGTATAGCAATGCATAACATAGTTGCGAAAGGAGTTTAAAGATTGTTTACCAAATATAAGTTACAAAAAACTTACCCATACATAAACTTCTACACGGCCGGACGACACCACCAGTTGGACCGCATTTGGGCACGAAGAGTGAGCAGAGGAAAAGCGCAGCCAAATCATAGCACTTCACATCGACCACGGCGTCATACACTTCAAGTTCTTGCTCGGCGTCCCTTTGGCCGAAATGTCCGATGTAATTAGGAAATACAGTGAAGTTATATGGTATTTTGTGTTGTTTGCAGAATTGGACAATTACAGGTAAGCAAATCCCAGGTGCTGGATTATCACTCTTTTTCTCCACGATTATGGGAGTGGTGCTGACATTCAGTGATTTGTTGACAACTTTTACTGATGTTGGATATGCTGTAGGGAACAAGAAAGGTTTAATAAGGTATATTTTTCTTTATAACTTCTTAAATTTTAAAATACAATAAAATATATATTATTTGCTATTGAGGGAGAGTTAGAAACGTCTATATATATATATATATATATATATATATATATATATATATATATATATATATATATATATATATATATATATATATATATATATGTTCGGATAGATTTCCGCGGTCAGATGAATGAAAATCACTAGGTTCTCGGGAAGAAGCGCGTTGAGAATTTAATGCTCGACGTTTCGGCTCCCATTTTGAAGGCATTATCAAGAGGGATACGGTTCGGTTCGAGTTCGGGGTCTCAATCTGCCTACTCCCCTCAATCGAAACGTACCAGTATCGTGTTCTGAGTACAAAAGTAGTTCTGTACTCAGAATGTGCAAATTATGGAACCGTTTAACGATTTTTAGTAAGTAGTTTTATTAGTTAACTATTAAGACTTTCCGGCAATTTAAATAATTATTGATATAGTTAAGTAGGTTATAACATAAAAAATATTGCAGGCAACGTGGCTTATTAACAAAAAATTTACATGAGACTGAATCAGACTGTTACCAAATGGTCACACTAGGTTAATAAGAGATCTAATTATTTGTTTATTTACATGAGAGGTTTGATGCTCCAGGAAGTCCTGGATATGGTTTATAACGATGAAAATGATGCAACTGACATATATATATATATATATATATATATATATATATATATATATATATATATATATATATATATATATATATATATATATATATATACATATATAGTCCACCTGATCCAAATGTTTTGACTGATAAAGATTCGGCTGACGAGGATAATGGTGGACTTGTGGATAACCTGTCCCGAAGACAATTATTAGCAGAAGCCGAGCTGGATTATTTTGATGATGCACCAGAAAAGACTAGTGTTTTTAATGAGATGGAAGATGAGCAAACACCACTTAGTAAAAACATCCGACTTTCCCAAAGTAGACTTCTCACAATTTAAAAATATGAGCCCTGCAGATTTATTTGAGTTGTTTTTCGATAACGAAATGCTAGGCCATATTTTAGACGAAACTAGAAAATGCGCTCTTTTTGTGAATTGTCCTGATCCGAAGATTACCTTGGACGAACTCAAATGTTTTTTGGATATTTTGATTGTGTCTGGATACAATTGTCTATTATCAACCAACTGAAAATATGAATTATGATGAGTCGATGGTGAAATATTACGGCCGCCATAATTGTAAACAATTCATTAGGGGAAAACCGATAAGATTCGGTTATAAAGTATGGTGCCTTAACTCCGAGACTAGTTACCTTGTGAATTTTGAGATCTATCAAGGGAAAAGTACCAATTCCAACGATCTTTACCAACTTGCATTTGGAAAGGCAGCCGCTCCCCTTGTCTCGATGTTGGACACTTTGCCACAACAAGAGCTACCTTACCAAATATATGTACTTAGATAATCTTTTTACTGGATTTAATTTAATGGTGCATTTAAAAGAAAAAGGATAGGGTGTCACAGGAACAATAAGAGAGAACAGAATACCACAAGATGTTCCACTTGTCAATAAAACAACTATGTCTAAACAAACTCGAGGTTATTTGGTTTCAAAAATTATTCAACTTCATACGGTGTGCACCCTATTCAACAAGTGAAAACGTTATTCACATTCTGAAAAAAAAAAGTCGTCCAAGTTCCACTGATAGAATGGATGAGTTACATGGTTAATTTATGCTGCGGTGCAAAATGCGTGGATACTTTATAAGTGTTTAGAAAGACCTCATTTGATTTTTCAACGTGAAATCGCGACTACTTACCTTACGAAATTAAAAAAACCTTCCCATTAGACCTGGTAGATCAACAACAAGTAGAAATAGTTTATCTCTTAACAGAATCTTTGACAACATTAGGTACGATGGTGTTAACCATCTTATTATACCTGTTCCTAATAAAAAACGAAGGCGGTGCGCAGAAGGGTGCTGCTCAGTAGGACGTACGCATACGCAGTGTGAGAAATGCGATATTGGACTCTGCATTGAATGCTTTACCATATTTCATAAAGAGTAAATTTTTTATAGTATTTTGACCTAGTGTTACCATATGGTCACAGTTTGTAATGTCATATGTTCGATAAAGAAATAAAATTTAATACATTTTTCTGCTTATTTGTATTTTTCCTAAACTAAACTTAGCAAAAAACACCAGTTTTACAAAAAAAAATTAATTCAGGCTTTGATGGGTTAAAGACGAATCGTCGGGTAGTTTTAACACTCCATTAACTTTAACTATAACTAATACAATAAAGTAATGAATGAAAATATTTACCCTTAAAATAAGCTGCCATACCGGCGCCAATAGCAAAGAGAGCTATAGCGTTGATGACTAATTGAGCAAATCTAAATTTAAGCCTATGGGTATAAACTGATGATGGACGCCTCATGTCTCGAATAATCTGAAATCAAGCAATTACAAAATTAATTTGGTGTAATTTTTTATAGTAATTTATATTTACTCTATGATGTAGAGACATGTTGGAACCGTTGTGGAATCTTACAATGGTCTGTAAACTGGCAGGCGTAGATGCACTCTTGGTTATCATGGAATTTCCATTAGGATCTTCTTCCGGGGTTTTAGCTTTAGGAAGCAGGCCCCGTTTTGTTGTTTAACTGGAGTTTTTGGAGGTAGCAGAGGAGTCTCCATAGTTTTAGTAGTGTAGCTCGGAGAAGACGTTTGACTAAAGCTGTCACTGGATACACTAGAGTCTTGTCTAATGGAGACTTTTCCCTGGGGATGTTGTCCTTGAACCTTGTTTGGGGTATTAGTTTTATGCGTTTTAGGAGCTGGAGGGGGTGGTCCTACGGGTGCGGGAGGTAGTTTATTGGATTGCTGGGTCTTATTACTATCTAAATTAAAAGTAGGTGGCTTGCAGTTTTGTTTAGAACAGGCATTTCGGTTAACATCAAGCCGTCGGTTAATGTTACTGGTATCATTGGATAGCTGGCGAGTAGGTGGTTTGGGTTTGGATTCTGAAAAAATTGTTGGTAGTGCACGGCATTTCGGAGTTGGTGGTAGCGGCGGAGGTTCTGATGGCTTTGTATGTGCTGTTATTTTTACCTGGTTAAGAGGAATCTTATTCGTATTGGTAGCCGTGGTTGAATTTGTTGTAACTGGCAAAGTTCTTTTTGGTACTGGCGGTGGACGTATGGGCATTTGTGCCTGGACCTGTAAAATAGTAAAATTTACTTGTTACTTTAATATATAGGATTAGAACAAAATACATAAAAATGCGCACGTTCGTGAAGTGTTAACACAAACTGTGGCTATTTTGTAATTTTTTACGTCCAAAGTAAGTATATTTACCGGCTGTTTCGTCTTATTGGAAATTATCAACTTGACTGCAGTAAATAGTCATGTGAGGGTAATATTAATCGTAATTTAAACTACCTAATTCACTAATTAAAACCGTTGTATTTGTTGTGGCTAACGACTTATTGGTCGCCAAGATGTCAACAGGATGCCATATTGATGGAATGCGGGCATCCAGGCACTAGGAAATGAATGTATAGCAATGAGAAGAAGGTTAACAAGAGCAAGAAACAGAGCAGGGATCAACCCTAAGGTCATCGAGGATATCGAGGAGGAGTACCGCGTAAGGAGGAGGGAACTGTACAGGAAAATCCGTACAGAAAAAAGAATGCACTGGAAAGAGCTGTGTGAAAAGCTGGATAAGGACATCTGAGGTCAAGAATACAAGAAGAAGTTCCATGCGTATCCTCCTTACGAAATGCCTATGGACAAGAAGCTTGAGGTAACACGAGAGCTCTTTCTGGACGGCAGATGGCATGGTGTATGGAAGGATAAAGGAGCTGAGCGGACTGTACTCTTTACCATGGATAAACTTGTCGAGGCATTGAGTTCGCTAAAAAATCGTAGGTCCCATCGACGTTAATACTGCTTCCCAAGGCTAGAGAAAAGTATCGACCTATCTGTCTTCTTCCATTTATCAGTAAGCTGTATGAAAGGATGTTGCGAGTATGCATAGACGACATGATTGAGAGGTCAGGTGGTTTTTCTCCGAGGCAATTTGGTTTTTGTAAAGAGAAAAGCACGATTGATGCAATCATGAGTGTACTCGTAGCATTGTGCAACAGAGGGATAAACATCGCTGTGCGGCTCTACTGTTGTTTGATGTTAAGAATGCATTCAATACGCTGCAGTGGAACGAGGTAATGAAGGCAATGGAGGAGAGAGAATGTCCTGGTTACCTGATGAATGTGGTGGCGGAGTATCTGTCCGAGAGAAGGGCAAGATCGTGGACGTGACGGCCGGCGTACCCCAGGGATCTGCCTTGGGCCTTGTGACAGAGAAAACCGAAGCCTTCATTCTGAATGGGTCAAGGAAATTTCAAAGTATTGAATTATAATGTGCCACAGCATGTCTAACACCCAAGTAACAAGTAAAGTACCTAGGAGTGACATTGCTTCAGAATGGAAAATGGGGTAGCACGTGCGGGAGGTGATCCGGAATGCAACGAATAGTGCGACTGCGTTGGGAAGGATGATGCCCAACATTGCGAGACCCAAATCCAAAAGGAGGAGCGTCTTACACGGTGTTGTACAGTCGATCGTCCTCTACGCGGCACCAGTCTGGAGCGAGGCGGTAGAGATAACCGCCTATAGGGGGCTCATGACACACGTGGACAGAACAAGTCTGTTGCGACTGGCATACGCCTACAGAACTGTATCTGCAGCAGCCTTGTGGACCATCACTAGATGTGTTCCGCTGCATGTTTTGACGGTGGAGAGAAAAGAGCTCTATGGAAGAAGAGGCCCAAACCTTACTGTGGCCGAGAGAAGACAGGAATGGAAAAGATCAACTGAAAGATGGCAACAATAATGGAACAATATGGAGGACGTGGCACAGTGGACGAAAGTGCTGATCCCGAACATAAAAGATTGGGTGGACTGTGGTGACAAGCGATTATTTCCTGACGCAGGTGCTCACAGGACACGAGTGTTGCAGGGCCTACCTCTCTAGGTTCGAAAAGGCTGACACAGATGAATGCCTATACTGTGGATACTTGGACACTGTGACACATACGATGTTAGATTGCAACAGATGGATAGTAGAAACGAACAGGATGGAAAGAGAGAAAGGTAAATTTTGTTACAGTGAGAGAAATGATTGAGAGAATGATTGAAAATAAATCAGGTTGGACTAACATACACCTATATCAGTGCAGTGATCAAGAAAAAGGAAAAGGAAGAAAGACAGTTCTACGCGCTACCTGGAACGAAACAGGGAGCCTCCTAGCTGATGAGTAGAGTGTGGATGTGTATGAATGGAGAATAAAATAATAAATGTAGTGCTTCGGAAGTGACGCCGGCCATTCCGTTTCAAGATCGCTGGATGACAGAGGAGGGTCTGGTTTAGCAAGTAGGCGTTTGGCATAGACTCGGCGACGAAAGGGCATTTTATGGGAGTATGAAGAACGAACCCTGCACTAAGGTCAGTCAGGCGACGTCCTGGACCGAGATGTCTTTTGAAGATTCTATACCACCCTCTATAAAGCCGAAAAGAAAAAAAAGTTGTTAGATACTTGTATCAACAAATGTCACGGGAAAGTCTTTAGTTCTTTGGTCAAATAGAGTATTAAAACTAAAGGCGCTGATTATTCTAAATAAAATGATAAAAAGATTTTAAATAAAAACGACTGCGATTTGGATCGAACAGTCAGCAAAGATTGGATAACATTTTAGAAAAAATTAGAGGCGAAAAAGAACCCAACAGAAGGCGAATATCATGGCTAAAAACTGCAGCAGTTACTTATATTTAATTATTAGACAATGTCAACTTTGTTATTATTTTGTTAAAAAAAAAGTCACTGGCCAGAAAACTAACTCAACATCCCCGGTAATATTATCTTTCGGAAATAAAATAGCGAGAAAGCGAGCATTCAATACATATTAATTTATGGATAAACACGTACTGTTGCCGTGTGTTTCGCATGTTCTTCTGTGGTTGAGTAGGCATGTGCAGAATGTCTTCTGGCATAGATATTAGAGTTGACAGCAGCTAGAGTGAGTGACGTCGGTTGCAAAGCTGAATGATCTCTATCGAGAATATCCAATAAAGCACTCTCATTAGCCAGGCTTCCCCATCTGTAACAAAAACAAGCTACTCAGATTTTCTGCTAAATATAACGGAACGTGTAGGCAACATTAATATAGCGATCAAGTTTCGATCATTCTTTTTATTTTTAAATGCATTTACATTATACTATTTGTCGAATCTACTATATTTAATCAGTTTTTTATAGTGCATGGTCCAATATAAAGACGCATCCAATATAATAAAGTCTTGTCGATGAATTATTAAATAAACGTGAACGATTTTTTTCGGTTTCTTAATATTCATTCAAAGTATAATACAAATTTAAATTTGAATAAAAAGTGCAATATTAGTGCTGAGATCAAAGATATATCAGATATAAGATGGAAGTAATAGCAACGCCTCTGCAAGTACATATATGTACTTGCAGAGGCAGAAATTAGTAGAAGACCAAACGAAGACAAGCATATATACGTGCAATATTCTCTGATTATATAGAACAGACAAATATATTGCATATTTTACTTTCGATCTTTATTTTTCTTTTCTTAAAAACACTTTTTGTAATTAATATTGCTAAAGTGTATTCTACACTTCTAAGAACCAAATAAATTACAGATTTTAAATACTCCGCCAACAAAGTCTCGCATCACTTATAAAATTACAAATATTTCTGACAGCATTTGGTTAATTTAAATTATTTCTTTGTGGTCTTTAAGAATATTAAGGCTAGAATAAATATTAAAAAGAAATTTGTAAATATAGCTTACTGTTTATGAAAAATTGCTATTTTGTCTGGTTTTTATACTATCAATATTTATTTTACTTTTGTAAAAGGTATACAGTTTGCGTTTAATTTAAAATTTCGTATTAAATATTGAGTATGGAAGGTCGTGACAATATAAATTTAAATTTAACGAGAGATCAAGTGGTTAGAATAATTTCCCTCATTGAAGACGGAAGGAGTCAGAGATATGTGGCAAATTTAGTGGGTGTAAATCAGTCGACAGTATCACGACTGGTAGTAAGGTACCGAGAGGCTGGTCTTTATGAAAGACGAGCTGTAACAGGTCTGCCAAGAGCAACTACGCATGTGGACAATAGATTTTTAGTCCTTCAGGCTTTGCGTCGAAGACATATGACTGTAAGTCAACTTCAACATGACTTGGCCGAGACTCGAAATGTACGTGTGTCTTCAGAAACACCGTATATCACGTCTAACATTTGCAAGAGATCACGTAAACTGGAATATCGACGACTGGGGTAACATACTCTTTACAGATGAGTCAAGATTTTGTTTATACACTTCGGATCGAAGAATACCAGTTT